TATTGATTGTCAAAATACTACTACTAGTTCGGAAGAGGAAAGCCACTGACCTGAGCAGAACCGGCGAAAGAAACTCAGCGGGTCGTTACTGTTTCCGTCGTTGGACTGTCCGGATCTATTTAAATGACACTTTAGTTACACTGTGGAAAGGAATAGTAAACTTGTCTAGTGTTATTTGAAGTCTTAATGTAGTGCTATTGTAACTGACCAGTTGGAAACCGATGACAGACCATGAGTAAAGTGACGTCGGCACTGTTAACGTCATGCTTTTTAAATAGCTTAATGGAGGTCCTGCTTTGTTACATAAATATCACAATATGCAGATCTCTTAGATCTCTGATGAGCACGTAATTATTCAGTTGTTAAATGCTATTATTAATTTCATTGGTACCGGTACCGGGATCGAACTTAGATTGCTCGAATATACTGAATTAAAAGCGCCTTAACACTGAGCTCTCTCGGTCTGCTAAACTTCAATCAACCAAAGCAAGTAGCCGATTTAAACAAGTTTAATAATGAATTATGATATCTAGCAATGTAAAGTCAGCTAATAAAAACAAAACGTCAAATTTGAAACGCTTAGAACTCGCGAACGGGAGAATTTTTGGCGTTCAAATTTTAAGTTTCGAAACATCCCCGTCCCAAAGGATTCGGTAATCGACACTCTAATGGAATTCCGAGTACATGCCCCCGCGAGGGGCTTTGTAAAAATTCGATACACCTCCAGGGACGGGAGAAAACTGGAGGAGAACGGGAAAAAAGTACTATTTTACATCGAACATAGGGAATATGTTATTGACGGGTGACAACCTTTGTGCCCGAGGCTGCAAAGCTCCGGGCGGCGCTCGAAAATTACGTGACCGACGATTTCAAGCTTAGAGGGCTTGTAAATAAGAGCTTGTGGCAGGATGTTTCGTTTTATAAACCGCAAACGTACCTTTGTTTATGGCGTGATGAAATACGTCAAGGTGTTGTTAGGGATTCAAAGGTTTTTGATAGTAATTTGCCGCGTAAAGGAGAGAGGGCCGATCGTGTTTCTCGATTATGGGCGGATAAAATTTGAATAAGAACGTATTGCCACGTGGCATGTATGAAATGCGTTACAGTGACCCGTTTATTCTCAACGGGGTAGGCAGGGTCAGCTGGCGATGACCATTTTTGTATGACTTGTTCCAAACGTGACAGGTGATGAGTATGTCGCCTTACACCAATACTTTTAAATTCTAGCATACAATACTTTTAAACGACACTTATCGATATTTTTATTGTAAGTTTTAGATTTATAAAATTACAGTAATAACGAAACCGTCTGTGCATGGCTCACATAGATTAAGAATTATTAAGAGATCTTTATTTTAATGATTTCAATTAACATTTTAATTTCGTGAAATGTTACTTAAAATCAAATCAATGCTTTTCAACATTTAAATATTAATAAAAAAAAATTAACATTTATTTTTAACATTTAAAATAAAACTATAATTTCAAATGCAGTGCTGAAAACGATAACATCTTTTTCTATAAACCTTATAGTCCACTCGAAAACTGCCCTAAATAAAAAAAAAATCATCTTCTCGATCCGTTTTATTCGTCTAGAGAAGCAGACATGAAAAAAGCATACTCTTCAGATCTTATAGGGCAGACCGTAAAAGTAATTGAATGCAGAAGTTCTTCGCACTGACACTTTTCCTCAAAGCATGAAGACATAAAATGCAGTCTTATACATGAGTGAGTGTTGCCTTTAAAAGGCGAAAAAAAGAAAATGTGATATAAAAATAACGAAGAACTTGTTAAGTTCGCGTGTCGGTCTAAATAAAAAAAATATATACCACTGACACTTTATTTAGTGTCAGGCGTACAGTGTCAGCCCCTTTGGGAACTCATTATGCGGTTTCGCTGAAATATCGGCATGGATCACTTTGCAAATGCCATCATGCATTTGTAACTCTTATAAAAGTATCTAGAATATGTCGAATAATATGATATGGGTAATTATTTTTGGTAAATGTAAATAACTTTAACTCTGGCGTAATTCGATTAAAATAAATTTTAAACGATAGAGAAAAATCACTAATGAATTTATCAACAAGCAGAATTCGGCGGTCGCTTATAGTCTTTTAAAGTAAGAACGTAGTCTTGATTACTGAGTATTATTAGCTTTAAGAAGGTTTGTTTATGAGGCTGCTAAATCCTGAGACTTCCTTCAGTTATGATCATTCAATTAAAACAAGCAACTTAGTTTATTTTTGTCGTAAAATAACTGGGGAATTCTGCAGATGATAAATAGCTAAAGAACTTTTAAACATATTCAAATAAACATTGACAGGTTCAAATTTCCATGCGACCGTTATTTCGCTATTCCCTAGACTATCGTACGTAATGCGCCTGTCACGCCATTATCGCTCTTATAAACAAGAGGGAAGACGCGACGTTTCAAATTAACTTTCCTCGTAAATTGGCCACGCAAACAAGTTTCAAATTGCCCCGTGGAGGCGACGTTTTCGCTAAATACCTATAAAAATGTCCGGCCCCGGTGAAATATAGTGAGTGATACTGTGGCAAAAGTCACAAGCGCAAGCGGTTCAGCTTTACGACAGTATGTAGGTAAATAGGTACTTTTACTGTAAACAGGTAATTTTTTTTAAAAACATTGCCCTTACTTTAGGATAACATTATCCTGTGTTGTAAGGACGTTTTACAAACAAATTTCACGTAGATAAACACCCAGATGCGAAACAACTATCTGTGGTTCACACAAATAGTTGTCCCGTGTGGGAATCGAACCCACGACCCCCGACGCCGAAGCCAATACCTTGGCAACTACGCCACGGAGTCATCGAAGCGTAATAAGTATGGCAGCGCTCGCCGTTAATTCGACACTAAATGTAAATGTGCCAAGCAAATAATTTCTGAAGTTGAACATTTTGTGATCGTTTCATTTTACTTTATAATTTATTATATAATACTGTTACTGTATGGTCGATAAATATTATCGATTTTAAGTGTTACGAACACAGTAAATTTAATATTATAATTGCTTTAATAATGTCTCGTATAATTTGTACCGTGATTACCATTTCGCGACAGCTTTTTGAGTTCGATAACATTTTGAGTACTTGTTCTTAATTGGAGTTTAAAGCAAAATATTCACACTATACTATAAAGTACTCATGTTCATACAAAGATATCACAGAAGATATATGTACGTACACAGCTTAACATTATACATGTTTTTAATAACACAGGAGATGCAGATACAAAAAGTGGAATATCAATGAATATGTTAGGACTTATTTTTTAACAACGCTGTCTAGACAAAGCTAAAGTAAACTAAGCCTAATTAGTTAAGTAATTAACGTATAAGCCCAGTAACTAATTAACGTATATAAACATATGTACATTTTCTTTTGTAAATAAATACGTTTTTAGATAATACTTGTATAAACATCCAGACACTAGAAAAACACTATATAAACATAGTGTTTTTCTAGTGTCTGGATGTTTTTTGCAGTAGAGGTATTCGAACCAGCACCTTCGGGGGTTAGAGACAGACTCACTATCCACAATGCCAATCAGGTCCTCAAATTTTATGATATAAGTTGTTTTTTGTAAGATTAAAAGATTGCACGTTAAGGATAATAAAACTTTCACAAACATAAAACGGAGGACACAAAATGCGCGTAGACAAATTATCAGTTTGCGTGGGATTCGAACCCAGTGCGACTAAATGGTAATTACCTAATTCGAATGGCGTATAATCTTGTTGTTAGGTTTCATCAGGGGTAACGAATTTTTAATTGGTTGTATTCGTATTTTTTTTATTCTGAGTGACCTGAGTTGATGACCCTGATCAGTTACTGAGGCGAAAAAAAGTATTAAACATACTCCTAACATGAAATCAATACCCTGGTTGGTAATTTATATGTTTGACATTGGAAATTCGCTGACGGGATATCAATGACAAGGTTTTATTTCTTATTTCTGAGGTTTAATACGATGCACGATGCCCGATACTTTAATTCAAAACGTCGGGAATAAAAATAAACGCGATGATTCCTTCGCAATAGTTTTGTTTTTTTTTTATGTGAAAAATTGGCAAACATGCTGGCCGTTCACCTGATGTTAAGTAATAACCACCACCCATGGACATTTGCAACAACCTTTATAATGTTGCAAATGCGCCCTTTAAAGTGGGCCCTGGCTACCTCACTCACCAGACAAAACGCGGTCTTCTGTGAGGTGCAACGGTGAAAACTGTTGCATGGCCCTAACACAGTTAAAACGTTTACGTTACCCTACACATTTGGTAACGACAGAAATTCAAAGTCTTAACTTATCGCCACCGCCTTTAACTTACGCCGAGCGCGTTACACGGAAGAGCTCTGTATAAATTGTGGCACTTACCACGTCCGAATGGCACATTCGCCTGATACGGCGTCGAGAGATACTTTACCGCCGCTGCGATGTGAAATATCGATGTTCATTATCCGCTCTAGAAGAATTAAACTGCGAGCAACTCGGCGAGTTACGTACAGGTGTTAGGCGAGCGTTTTGTTCTCAGTCTTACCTCTAACGCGGATTTTTATATTATTGACGTTTGTGACTAGCTTTAAAGAGTATCGGTTAATTTCTATTTGTTGGTTTTAATCTGATTTGGAATTAAATTCACCGTGTACAAACATCACTATGGTATGGATCATTTTATGTTAAAAATATTTTAGAAATGTACCGGACATTTCTTAAATTTTATATTTTTGACATATGCGAAATATTATTTGGAAATACCTCTCCTTAAATACTAATGTGCCTTATGAAAACACTATATGGCTGAAGATAACTACAAGATTATGCAGTTTTCGAAACTTATTGCTTCAAAGTCGTTTTAACATTGAATCAACCTCAGGGAAACGTACGTAGTTCAAAGTGAAAACGTGACGGAGAATGTGCAATACATCTGCGTGCCCGTTCAAGCGCGTTAGATAGTCCCTCAATATATTGTAATGTACCCGTCGAATATCGCTCTGGCCGCTCTGGGATATAGTGCGACGCGAAACTTATACTTCTTTTCGGGCGGTATATCACGGGTGAACAAAGATAAGCAATTCGGTGGGCGGCCGCGTGTATTCCGCGGCGGCCTTCGGACTCCGCCGGCGGCGCGGACTGAAATATGGGACTTAGCGCCGCGCTGCGACAAAATAAACAACAATAACTCCCCCGCACCGTCCCACTGCACCTCGCTGAAAGTTTTAATGGCACATTTGCGGCCCGCGCTTCGTTATTTCGCTATCTGTACGCGCGCTAAAGTGTGCACTGTGTCTGCAAATATTTATGTGGCGTTCTCGTAGAGAACTCACGTTTGTAACTTCCGATTTGCAGATACGTTGTTAATTTTGTACAACATTGTCCATTGTTTCCGCGAAACTTTCGTAATCAATTTTATTGCGTTTGAGTTTACGTAAAACACGTTTATACTACTTTATACCGCCCGTGGTTACGGGACAGACTGAGTTTGGTGGTGATACTATTCAACAAGTTTCAACTCTGCGATCATTTGACAGGCTACTCGCCCCATTTTGCCGAAAGAGCTTACGGTTAAAGAGCTTGAGGACTGTTAGTGTCTTTGAATTCATTGTGATAAAGGGATCAAAGTAGCATATATATAAAATAAAAATCGGCCTTCGCCTGAAGTTTTTTACTGTGGCAGGTCAACGCAACAGTTTTCACTGTTGCACGAATGGGCAGGTCCGTCCGGGTAATTACCATGACCTCACAGAAGACCGGCGTAAAGTAGAAGTGTGAGTTGCAACGCATTTGCAACCCTACGGGTGTTGCAAATGTCCATGGGCGGTGGTTATCACTTAACAGGTGAACTGCCAGCTCGTTTGCCATTTTGTCACATAAAAAAAAGTTTGTACAACATAGGATTAAGGTTATCTGATATAATGACGTTACTAAAACCTTTTCCGACCCCGCAATGTTTCAGTGTGCCCATCACGCGCCCCGTGTCGTACAAACCGCACGCTAATCGCTCCTCTCGCTCGCCCGCCATAAATCAGAGCGGGACGACGTTTTTACGAGCGGCTAATCAAGAAATACGATGGCAGCGATTAAGTGTGCGAGACGGTGGCGTCTTAATGCACTTGTCAGGATTAGTGCGCGCTCTGTTCGGGGTGGGGGGAGTTAATGAATTAATTCGGCGCGGGTTCGAAATTCAAATCATACGCCTTGTCTATTTCACTTTGGATGGACGTGTTTAGCAACCGACTTCAAAAAAGGAGTCATATTTTTTTTATGTTTGTTACCTCAGAACTTTCAACAGTTTGAACCGATTTTGATGCTTCTTTTTTTATTTGAAAGCTGGTGTTTCCTATGTGATCCCATATTAATTTCATTGGTAATGGATCTTGCGCTCCGTGGATAGTTAGGGAACCGCTGAAAATCAATAATAAAATGAAAACGGAGCGAGATATTTAAAGTCGGTTTTGTTTTTCGTTTTTTTTTGTTTAAGACTTTTAAATTAAAGAATTACCTGATTGAACCTCTGTCACTATGTTCAGGACGGCAGATAACTTTTTTATTAAAGTATATTTTTTAGTTTTTGTCTCTTATAATTGTGTAATTATTAGCGATGCGCCCCGTGTTCGCACGGGTAGCAGAGCATGTAATTATATTACGCTAACATTTATTTTTGGTTTCTCGCCGTGTTTTATCGATTATGATTTATTCCTTCGATATCAACGAATTGTCGTCATATTTAAGCCAATCTACACAAAGATCTTATACATCTAAATGTTCACAATGAACCTCTCCATTGATGAAATCCGTATTAAAATCGATTCAATAGTTTTTCAATCGACATCTTAAAAGGAGTTGATTCTCAATTCGACTGTATTTTTTTTTACTTTATCACGTTCAGACTGACAGGCTGTGTCAATCCGTCGACCTCATGATGATTTAATCGACAAGGAACCTTGTAATAAGAGTTAGCAGCCCTGGCGGTTAGGGTTGTCGATTAGCGTGACCGGGAGGAATCTGTCAATGATGTTGTCCTATTTATTGTTGCCCGGGAACAAGAGCTCCCGAGGGCTTACGTTCCCGTTACTTCATATACAGGGTGATTTTATAGACGACGGACATAATAGAGCATAGGCAGAAATTCTGATTCTAAATCTGAATCTGGTACGTACTTGTGCCCTAATTATTTTTCAAAGATTATTTTTAATTCTTCAAACATTATTAAGCTTAAGAAATTCCTGCCTTAGCGTCTCAATCACTAAAAGTTTTCGCTGAAGGCATAATTACTAAACCGCTTCGTTTAAAAAATCACCCTGTATATCGGTCCTGCGAAGTACCGGTCTCATCTTCCCTATTGGGTTCAGTTTTATTACGGGCGTGCTACACTCCCGGGTTCGGGGTGTCCCGTTTTTGGGTTAAGCGTCGCATGTCATCTAAATCTTCCCGCACCGATTGTATTACAGTATTAACATATCCTTTCTGTTTTGTACTGTGTCTTGTTTCATGGTTGTACTCCACCATATCTAAAGGAGAAATTTGAGTTTGTAGGGCCTCCAGGGGAAGATCTACGTTCTTCGAGGAAGCTCATTTTAAAGGTGCCAAATTACAAAACGTCGTTTTATGAAAAATCTTTTACCATACAGATTATTAAGCTCTGGAATTCCTTGCCTTTAGTTTTACGTGAGGCGCAATCTATGGGCACTTTTAAGAATTTAGTAAAAGAGCACTACCTGTCACAATCACCTGAGTAATATTGTATTCATGTTTGAGGTCTAGTATATATATGTGTGTATAGATATACAGCGTGTCGTTACCAACGCGACAATAAATGAACACACATATAGATGATAACATTTTAAAATTGTATTAAATATTTAAATTCTTTAAACATCAATATTTACAGAGTTATTAAATTTTCTAAAACAAAGAATTTTAGAACACCCTTACCTATAAAAGCGTAACGTAAAGTTCATTTGTAAAGGTCACAAAGCATATGAATGGGTTGAATGAATTTAAAAGAGACAAAACATACTGTTAGAAGGAGAGGCTTGTAATGCGACGCTGTGGCGCGAGTTGTATAGGATGTTACAAATTTTGTTTCTTTTTTACTTAATAAGTTCGTTTGAAAAATATTTTTTTTAAATTATGGATTTTGTTTAATGTTAATATTTTTTTATGATTATTGGCAAGTAGCGTTAGACGTGTGTTCATTTATTGTCGCGATGGTAACGACACGCTGTATATGTATAGTATATGTATATAGTATATATGTGCATATTTGTGTTAATATTGATATGTATGTATAAATGTATGTATCTGCTTTAATAATATATTATGTATATTTCTATTGCACCACCTACGTAGTATACGTTTCCTTTAAGCCATTGGTTGCCTGGAAGAGATCGCTATGAAGCGATAAAGCCGCCAAATTGTACATTGCATAAATTTGTTGTTCTATTGTTACTTTTATGTATATTCTTATTTGTGGTGGACAATAAAAGTGTATTCATTCATTCATTCATATAGTTTATTCTGATGTTGGGAATATTGTTCTTTTTGAAAATTGCTGGGGCATGTGCGTTTCGAATTTCTCCTAGGAACATTTACATTTGTTGTTAGGCACTACTTAAGATGTTTGGGGCCAATAAAGACTTAGTGATAAACAATATAGACTTGGATGGCAATTGGCATCAGGAATCTGTGTGCCCGTTATGTTTAGAAGACTTGAAATCTTTAGATCTGTTAACTTATGCCGTGGCATGTAATGAGCTGGAACATTGATTAGTTTTACCGCTTACTGGAGCGGTCGCGGCTAAAAGAACCCTTTCTGGAAACGCAGCGGCGATTTCAAATTTGAATGCTGGAAATAAAATAAGGGTCCCGTGGAGGCAGTGGGGCGTCCGCGGCGTGTCTTACGAAGGAAGTAGTTCATCGTGAAATAAATCTTGTGGACACGAAAGAACTGCTACACGGTACGCGTAGTGTGGGTTAAGGATATTAAAAAGGAATAATTTCAGTGTACATAAAATGTTTCAATTGTAAGTTGGTAATGTTATAAATTATTGCTTTGTCGATTTCTTTTAAATATTTTTATCTAGATGGTGAGCTAGGACAGCCCTTGGGCATCTCAGGCAGTATTTGAATATGGATTTATGAAAATAAAATATTCACGTTTTTCTGTAATGCGAGTTATTGACAAGTTGGTGAAATATCACACAGGTTTCGGATACACTTTTACTAAATGAAATATTGAAATTTATAAATACTAATAATATAATGAATAATATAATTACTTAATCAAGTATATTTAAAAAAAATAACATTTCTAACTGTAAATAAGTAATGTTATTTGATTAAGTTAATTTATCTGTAACTAAGCCTTATTTAATTGTTTTTCATGTGTACATATAAATCTGGGTCGAAAATACGCTAATGGCGAAATTCAGTTTTACGGAACCCTCTCGAATCTGGAGACCTTGATATTGGTCACGTGCTCCATGTGCCGTAGGGCAAAGACATCAATAGTTGGGGTATACGATGAATTGGTCAGGAAAGACATTCTTGATATTCGTATAATTTTTGGGGAAAACAAGAGCCACTGACTGATGAATCCTGATAAATTCAATCGGGGAATTCCCGTTATCTTGTTTGAGTGTGTGTGGAAAGACGCCACATCGAATTTGATCGTAATCGAACATAAGCGGACTAAGGTGTCCTAAAATCAGAAATTGGTTAGATTGAGGCTTAAGTTATAGATATAAGTGTCTGTCCGTCTTACTTTGTTAACCCAGAAATAAAAAAAAATATTGTTTTCAGGTACCATTGTCGTTAGTTAATTGCTGTTGCAGATATTTTCTTGTCCCTGACAATGTAAAACATATACAGTGTATAAAAAAGTCGTGTAGCATTTATTCTTTTTTTGTATTTGTAATTTTCTTATCGTTTCCACCAATAACAATGTATAGACAGTTCGTTTTTAGTAAATTATCAAATAAATGAGTATTTTCTTCAGTCATAATATGACATCAATATTAGAAGGTACTGTAAAAGTAACTCGGTACTTATCGAGTTTTAATTACTTTTTTGTTATTTAAATCTAACATATTTTTTATAAAGTATAGTATTTCTTTTGAAAATAAAAGTGAAAGTGTTTGCTATAAGGGAATTTTCGGTGAGTACCTGCTTTAGTATTATTTTTCATTAGTGTTAGAAGGTGCCAATTGGTGGAAGACACTAAGCGAAGCTAGTGTCTCACCTGTATTTGAGTGATAATCTCAGCCCATTGACATTTGCGACGGATATAAATAGATGTTCGCCTTTTATAAAG